CATCATCGTCAGCATCATCAGCATCATCAGCATCATCAGCATCAGCATAAACATCATCATCAGCATCAGCATCATCAACATCATCATAAGCAATATCATCATTACTACTGAATTATTTTAAATACACCTCTTCTACCCTCTTCTGCTATCATCCTTCTATTCTTCGATCACCCTCATCTATTCTACTCTTCCTCCAACTCCTCATCCCCCTCCTCCTCTTCGCTCTCCGTCTTCTAAATTCCTCCTCCTCCTCCTTCTCCTCCTCCTGCTGCGCACCGCCATGTCTCCTCCTCATCCTCTTCTTCGATCCTCCTCATATGTCCTCCTCCTCTTCTATCCTCCTCCTCCTTCTCCTTCTACTCATCCTCCTCCTCTTCCTCCTCCCCCTCCACTCGATGTCGCTGTTGGCGTCTGTGCGAACAGTCTTCTTCACTTGCAATCCGCCCCGGTGGGGCCGAACGCGCACTGCAGCCCTCAGCCGCACAGCCCGAGTCTGGCGAAAGCACCATGCCGCGCGACGCTTTCGGTAGACATGCTCTGCCGAAGTCCTGCCACGCCGCCCTGCGGGGTCCAGGATTTGCCGCCGGCCGACCGGCTTTTGTCGGACCTACCAACCGTCTACCTCTTCGTTACCTCCCCTACTTCCCAGGCTGCACCCGTACACCACCATGACGAGCCCGTCAATTGGTCGCCGATGCCCCTTCTGCATTGGGCATGGAGGTCGAGACAAAACGCAAGTACACGTGTGATTCGAGGTGCAGGTTCTCCTGAGGCCAGTCTTAGTGATTCTGGCGCCAGATCTGTCTCCAAGAACCTGACCAGCCGACGCAGTACGCTCCCAGCTGCCTCTCGGCCCACCCCTCTCCGTTGCAAGCCCGTGCCGCTGAAGCCACGCATCACACCGTCCTTAGTCTGATGCGCGTGCCACGGCATCGCTCGCAGTGCCGTGGTGAGACGCAGAACGCTCAGTCCTCACCCGCGCTTCGCCGCAAGAGCTGCGCGCGCTGGAACCCCGTCACCCCCGAGGCATGTGCTCGGCAAGCCGCTGGAGATCCGCCCTCTGCTGAGACTCAGCGGAGGCCCGAGGCCACCCCGGGCCTTTTTGTCGTCGGCCGCGGGGCCGAGGCACTCCGCTCCAGCGCGGCAGTGGTGCAGGGCCGCCACAAAGCCAGGAGGGACAGGGAAGGGCAGGGCGGCCGCGGGGGGAGGAGAAGGAGGAGGACAAGGAGGAGGAGGAAGAGGAGGAGGAAGAGGGGGAGGAGGAGTAGAAGGAGGGATGAGGGAGGAAAAGGGAGAAGGAGGGGGAGGAGGAGGAGGAGGAGGAGGAGGAGGAGGAGGAGGAGGAGGAGGAGGAGGAGCAGGAGGAGGAGGAGGGGGAGAGGAGGCCGAGCACTCAGAGGCGGAAGGCTCTCGCCAGGAGCAGCCACAACGCCCAGAGCCCACCCCGCACGCGGTGGCTCTGCGGCGCTCCTGCTCGTGACGGTCTGCCACGTGTGCGGAGCTGCACTGTCGATGCCGCGCCTTCCCTGTGGCTTCGCCGCGCTCCTGCTCGCAGCGCACACCGCCAGGGGCGGCGGAGAGCTCGAGAGGTCCGCCTGCCAAGCATGCTTTGCAGACGCGCGCGCTCACCGCGGCTCCGCAGGCACTGCGCCGCTCTCGCGCGCGCACGTGCCCGCTTCAACACGCCGACCAGACAGGCATGTGGACGACGTCCCAACTTGGAGGTCGCTTGGGGGGCAGCGTTGTTTCCAGGGCCGAATCCCAATACGCTCAGCCAGCGCGCTTGATCCGTCAATACCAATCCTGACGACACCCATTCGCGACAAGTTCGGACCTTAGGTTTGCTCTTACCGACGATTGGGCTGCTTAGGTTTGCTCTTACCCTACGAGCATTGCCTCCTCCTCCGTCGCCCCAGAAGCACAGATCGCGTTCGCGGCCCCTCAGCGAGCTGAAAGTCTCAACAAGTGAAGCAATAACGTATCATACAGTGGGCGCACGGCCGCAAAATAAAACGTCGCAAGACACCCCACCCTGAAAATCCACAAAGTTTCTTGCCCAGGGTCTGGGTCTCTTGACGCCCGCGGGAAGCCATCGCGGGCCGCGCGGAGCAAAGAAACCCAGGATGCCCTGACGATAAACATCCGGCTTCTTGGTACGCGCCCCCACTGTATGCAATCTCAACATGTGCCGTTGAATAATCACATGGGCAAGTCATGTGTCGTTGAAAGGTGGCATGAGGAGGTAATGCGTCACTGAACCATGCCATTGAACGAACAAGTGTGGTTCTGACCTTTTGAATGACAACTGTTTAGACACTTGACAATGTGAAGCATGAGCTTTCGGCGTTCAAGCCTTCCATATTTAGCATAAGTTGATCGTTGTCTACAGTGTTTAACCACTGATGGTTATGCCTCACTGCCGCCTCAGAACAAAGTGGGCGCCCAGTAAATATTGCAACACGCTCAGAAGAACCTCGCTTTGAGGAGTTTATATCACCCACATACGCATACCACATACAACGCTTTCAATGTTTGCGGCAACACGTCGGACCATGTCATTTTGGCACTGGCAGAAACAATCCTCGATTGTCCTGGCTTGAACCTCTTCCTAGCGGCCCAAGACGAGCGCAGTTTTTTCACAGCAGAGCGTCTGCTGACACAAACTTACCCGTCTCCGTAACATCGTATTAGTTCTCCTGGTTGGCATATCGGCGGATGCAAGCAGTTCGACTTACCACGGACAAGCTTTAATCCCACCAGCCCTCTGGGCGTAGGTGGTTTAGGGAGTTTCCTCTTCCATCTTCCCTTCTTCCCCTTCGGGGAGGGGTTCACCCCTCCCCCTCGCCCCCTCCCCTGGACCTGGACGGGCCCGGTCGCGAGCGGTCAGAGTGTCCAAGATGGCCCAGGATGGCTCCATGAGCGCCTCGGAAAGCCCAAGATGACTTCCAAGATGGCTCAAGATAGCCTAAGATGCCGCAAGATGGCTCCGAAGATGCTCCAAGACGCTCTCAGAACGCTCCAAGACAGCTCCAAGAGGCCAATTGTCTCCCCAAGGAGGCCCCCCAAAAAGCCAAAATCCTTGAAAAACCTTAGGAAACCAATGATTTTCGGTTTCTCGCCTTTTCGCTTCCGATGGCCTTCCGAGGCCTCAAGATGGCTCCAAGAGGGCCCAAGATAGCCCCAAGAGGGGCCCAAGAGAGCCTCAAGACGGCCCCAAGAGCGCCCAAGAGCGCTCCAAGAGCGCCTCAAGATGAGCCCAAGAAGCGATTTTAGAGGATCTAGAGGGGCGGGGCTAATTAACCCCACCCTCTTCTTTGATCGATCGCCTCCAAAATGGCCCCAAGAGGCGCCCAGGAGGCCCCAAGAGGCGCCAAGATGGCCCCAAGATGGCCCCAAGATGGCCCCAAGAGGTCCCCAAGAGGCTCCCCGAGGCACCCAAGACGCCCCAAGAGGCCTCCGGGACCGCCAAGACGCTCCCAAGACGCCCTAAGAGGCCTTCAGGACGCTCCCAAGAGACATCCGAAGAGACTCCGAGAGTCATCCAAGAGGCCTCTGGCCATTCTGCTCGCCCTTCTCCTCATCCTCCTCCTCATTCTCGTCCTGCTCCTCCTCCTCCTCCTCCTCCTCCTCCTCCTCCTCCTCCTCCTCGTCCGCCTATTGCTCCTCCTCCCTCCTCCCTCCCCCCGCTCCCCCTCCTCCTCCTTCAATTCCTCCTCCTCCTCCTCCTCCTCCTCCTCTTCATCCTCCTCCGATTCCTCCTCCATCCTCGCCGTCTTGGGTAAGACGGGTTCCCCAGCCCTTTGTTACTCTGTATGCTCCCTCAACTCCCTGATCACCTCCACTCGCCTGGGCATCGTTACTGGATGGGCTGGTGGGGATATTTTTTTTGATCTGCGGCTCCAAGGACGATTCCAGAGAGCGGGTCGAACCAAGCATGGGGCAGCACGCAAGATAATTGTCAGCGGGCCAAAAGCCAACGCCGGAGTGCACATGCGAGGAACAAAATGAACCTCATTAAGCCGCGCCAGAACGGCAGCCAACGACTGACAGCGGGGCGTCGCACAGTGGCGCCAGCACCCAGCGGGAGGACGGCGAAGGGCGGCACAGCGGGCAACTGCGACCCTGCCCGCCCGTAAAAGTGCAGCGAAGGCAAGAATGGGGGCACGTGGGCCTCACTCACGGAGCACCTCATGTGCTCGAGAACTGGTGGGGATACTTTTTTGATCAGCGGCCCGCAAAGAAAAGTCCAGAGGGCGTGTCGATCGGGCAAACTGGGGCACAGAGCCAGATAATTAGTGCACATGCAAAACAAATTGGACCTGGTGGGGATACGCGAAGCGTCAAGAATTGTTCCCACCGCCACTGCCCAAATCTGAACCTCCTGTAGGGGGAAGAATCAGAAGCAGATCGGGGGAGCTGCTGGGCTGCAGGGCCAGGAGGAGTGCATCTATGCCCCTCGAAGGGATTTGGAGCTCGGAGCCAGGAGCAGGGCGGAGCACATGCTGTTCTTCACGTTGACTGTTTGAGCCGGTCAAGCTCCACACTCGAGGCCCACGGAGCCCAGTCAGCTCAGGCGGCTCCCGACGGGTCCTTATGCTGCTGCGAGCCGAACCTTCTTCCATCCCTTCATCTTTGATTGGGGGGTCTCTCTCTCTCTCTCTCTCCATCCTCATTCCTCGATCCTCTGCCCTCCTCTTCCTCCTCCTCCTCCTCCTCCTCCGATGTTTCCTCTTCCTCCTCCTCTCCTCCTCCTCCTCTCCTCCTCCTCCTCCTCCGACGACGACGACGACGGCAAAGACGACAAAGACGAAGACGACGCAGAAGCAGACGGCGACGCCGACGATGGCGACGACGACGACGCCGCCGACGACGACGACGACGATGACGACGACGACGACGACGACGACGACGACGACGACGACGACGACGACGACGACGACGACGGCGGCGGCGACGGCGACGACGACGACGACGACCCTCCCCCCGGCCGCAGCGAGCGCCTCCGCGGCCGCACTGCCCTTCCCGAGCCCGCCCGCGCTGGCGGTGCCGGGCGCCGTGGCACCTCTCGCCACGGAGGGGCGGCTGGACGGCGCTGCGGAGCCTGCGGGGCGAGACGAGGCCAGGACGAGGGCAAATTCGGATGAGGATAAATCGAGAATCTCTGAGATCCCGCGGCTCTGGAGGATGCATCACAGGGAGCCCACAAAGGACGTACGCGCCCAGCTATGCACATGGACACGGCCCCTCGATCCGCGAGGCTGGCCGCGTGATGCGAACATTTGCGCAGTGCGTACTCTCGAAACCAGTGTGAACTCATGTACGTGTACGTCCTTCTTTCGCTCCTGAGTATCTGGCGCCGCGGCCTTTTCAGGGCGGTCCGGACCGCTCTGAGAGCGTTCCAGAACGCTCTGGAGTAGATTTATCCTGAAGTCGGGTCTGTCCCTCTCCAGAAGGAATATTCAAAAATAGTCGAAAAAGAATCCGGGGACGATCTTCCTGTTATTGTTGGACTCTTTTGGAATGCTTTCCAACTAGTTCTTCTTTTCCCTCCAGAATCCGCCTGTAGGGGGACACGCCCGACCTAATTGTATCCTTGTCTTATGTTGCTCCCATCGTACTTAAGGACCACATCCCAGACATAATTTCGAGCACCTGGAAAAGTGTCGAAAGAGTGTAGAAACAGTGTCGAAACAGTGTCGGGCGAGTGTCTCCCGGGGCCCGACACGTGAAAACCCTCGAGCTTCGTTACTTTCTTCTGGTGCTCGAAATTATTCCTGGTGAGCCAGGCTAAAGTAGGTAGGAACACCATAATCCCAGAGATCCGACGTCGTGATTTTTTCAAAACGGGGTGCTGGAGGTCTCGACCCATTCCCCAGGACCGGCTTTTCACCCTGCGTCGCTTTGGGACGGCCCCGGGGCCCGGCGAGGGCCCCTCGAGGCCACAAACTGCGAAAAACCTCCGTCTGGATTTTTCCAGGACTCGGGGGCGGCCAAGAGGGGGGTGTCCAAGAGGGGGGGGTGCAAATCATGACCGGCGGCATGTGCGCGGCCCAGCGGGGGGCCCATGGACGTAATGAAATAAGAAGAGGCGCCATAAAACCTGAGGAAATATCATGGCCCCCGCCATGATCTCCACCCCCCCCCTAGCCATCACCCCCCTCTTTGCCGCCCCCGAAGGACGCTGGATCTCGGGGACCCTTGCCCCGGCCCCACCCGAGGTCTGCGTCCGCGAGGGCACGCCGGGCCGGGCCGGCGCCCGGGCGCCGGCAGCGCCGGCGAGGGCGCCGCTGCGCGGGGCGCCCGCGACTGCGCCGAAGGCCGCCGTGCCGGCGCGCACAGGTCCAGCGCGCGCGCTCCCGGCGCGCGGCACCGCGGAGGGGCGGGCATACCTATAGGGGAGCAAGCAAGAGATCCAACGCAATGAAAAAAAACAGGACGGAGGTTTTTCGCCAATTTTGGCCCCCAGGGGCCCTCGCCGGGCCTCGGGACCGTCAAGAAAAGACTCAGGATGAAAAACCGGTCCTGGGGAATGGGTCGAGACTTTCAGGGACCGCGTATGGAAAAAATCACGACATCGGATCTCTGGGATAGTATATGGCAGGAGCACGAAGACTTGGACGCCCGAGTTATCCGGGGTAACTCGGGTCCGGGATAACTCGGGTTTGGGTTCCCGAAAAAACGAACCCGAGTTAACCCTGACCCGAGTTACCCCTGATGATTCGGGGCTCTGAACGCCCGAAATATCCGGGGCAACTCGGGCCCGGGAGAACTCGGGTTCGGACTCCCGAAAAACGAACCCGAGTTAGCCCTGAACCGAATTACCCCTGATGATTCGGGGCTCTGAACGCCCGGAATATCCGGGGTAACTCGGGCCCGGGATAACTCGGGTTCGGACTCCCGAAAAACGAACCCGAGTTGGCCCTGACCCGAATTACCCCTGATCATTCGGGGCTCTGAGAGACCCAGAGATCCAACGTCGTGATTTTTTCAATACGGGGCCCCCGGAGGTCTCGACCCGTTCCCCGGGACCAGTTTTTCATCCTGAGTTGTTTTTTGACGGTCCCGGGGCCCGGCGAGGGCCCCTTGAGGCCGAAAATTGTGAAAAACCTCCGTCTTGATTTTTTCAATACGTTGGATCTCTGGGGGCCCAGAAATCCACCAACGTCTTGAAAGAAACAAATCCAGGCGTTAAGGCTCCTCGCGGTTTTGCTCGGCCCCTCGAGGCCCCCGCCGGGCCCCGGGGCCGTGCAAGAGCGGCATCATGGGTGAAGCACGGGTCCTGGGGAGTGGGTCGAGACGCCTCCCCAGAGATCCGAGGAGGCGGAGGAGGAGGGGGAGGAGGAGGAGGAGGAGGAGGAGGAGGAGGAGGAGGAGGAGGAGGAGGAGGAGGAGGAGGAGGAGGAGACCGAGGAATGACCGATCGGCACCCGGTGCCGTCCCCGAGCTCTGATCAGGGCCCGACTCTGAACCCGCTGTCGTGATTTTTTCAATACGCGGTCCCTGGAAGTCTCGACCCATTCCCCAGGACCGGTCTTTCATCCTGAGCCGCTTTTTGACGGTCCCGGGGCCCGGCGAGGGCCCCTGGGGCCCGAAAATTATGAAAAACCTCCGTCTTGATTTGTTCAATACGTTGGATCTCTGGGTCTGGGGACCCCGCGTCGAAAAAATCACGACGTCGGAGCTCCGGGAACTCGGAGCCCTGACTCCAAATCCGCCCTAATTTGGCTTTTTTTTCCAACTTAAAATTGCGTCGGAAATCCACTTATAAAAAGCCGAAAAAGTAGGGCGGAAATTTCTGCACCCAACATAAAATAGGGCGAAAGTCCACAGAAGTAGGGCGGAAACAACAACAGAAAAGTAGGGCGGAAATTGGCATCAGCGGGGCTTGAAAAGTAAGGCGGACATTCCAAGCCCTACTTACGAATTTCCCCAAAGTAGGGCGGATCCGGAGTCAGGGAGGCCCGCGCGGAGTTTGCTCGGGTCGGCGCCGGGGATCCCCCCTCCCCGGCGCGCGGCGCGCGGAGCGCGCCATGGGGCGGCGCCGGAGGCGCCGCCGTGGGGGCCCCGGCGCCGATCCGAGGAATCCGCGCGGACCTCCGAGCTTTTGGGTCTACAGTCGGGGCGTTGACCTAAGGAACCCGAAACAAGGAACAAGGCCCCTGTTTCCCATACGTTCCACCTCGATTCCCCAGGGAAGACCTCAGGAAAACCCGAGGCAAACTTGGAAACAAGCAAGGAACACCGAGCCCCTCCCCAACGAAAAGGGTTCCTTCTTCAGCGCCCCGACTGTACACCCTGCGGCATGCTTAAGAAATCATGGGTTAAGAAATTCATAGTCTCAGAACTTGACTAAAAACCCAAAATTTCTATTAAAATCTTAGGATTTACGTTGAAACATTAAGAATAATCGAGACCCTGGCCGAAAATTCAAGTTTTCTTAAGCATCGCCTGAGGTGTGTGCCATTGCCCCTCCCCAACGAACAGGGTTCCTTCTTCAGCGCCCCGACTGTATGCCATTGCTCCTTCCCCGAACACCCGCCCGAGGGCTTGGCGGCGGCCCCGCCCAGGGCCGCCGTGGCGCCCCGCGCCAGCGCAGGGCGCGGCGAGCCGCCCGCGTTGGAGCTGCGGGCGCCGTCCGGCGAGGCCTTCGGCGAGCGCGAGGGGGCTGCCGAGGACGCCTGGGAGGTGCCCCAGGACACACGACAAATCAATACCCACAGATAACAAAAAAAATTCCCCCCTATACTCTCCCACGTTTCTGTTGGCTTTTTGTCTCCCCCCCCCCACTCCCCACATATTTTTTTGCACACTCTCCTGGGAGCCGACGACTCCTCGTGTCTGTGTGCTTCTCTCCCGCCTGGAGCCTGGGAGGTGCCCATGGCCACCCGCAGAGCGGCCGCCGCCCTCGCGGCGGCGTCCTCGGTGCACGCGGGCGCGGCAGCGCCCGCGGCCCCTCCGTCGGCGGCGCCCTCGGGGCCTGCCGGCACGGCCTCCTCGAGCGCGGCGTCTGCCGCCACCGCTGCGTCGGCCGAGGCCGGGCCCGGGGGCGCGGGCGGCGCCTGCGTCGGAGGCGGCGACGGGGGCGAAGATGGAGCCCAGGGGCGGGCATGCTGCAGGCCTCCGCCGGGGAGCCTCGCCGAAGGCATGGGCCATCGGCGCCCTCGGGTATACACGTGCTGCTCCCCCCCAGGGCTACCTGCTCGCCCACATCTCGCCGCTTCCGACTGCGGCTCCCCCTGGCCGTCGGCAGGAGGCGTGGGCCCCCCCTCGGCCTCCTCCTGACTGCCCCACCCGAAGTCGCACTCGGGCCTGTCGATTTCCAGCGGGGCGACGCTCCGGAACATCGAGGCAACACCGTGGAGCCCGTACACCCCCCAAACCTCGAAACCTGGGGGTGTCTGGGACCCTCGGGTTGGGTTCGGGCGGTTTGGTTAGAGGCCTCCTAGATGAGGTCCGAGCAGATGGGGCCGGAGGATTGCACCGGATCGCCGATGCATCGACGATGCACCGGCGTCGTCGGCGATGCATCGGCGACGTCGACGTGAAGCAAAACGGGCTCTACATCGAGCCGCACCGGCGATGCATCGGCGATGCGGCGCGATCCTCCGACCCCACGTGCTCGGACCCCATCCAGGAGGCGTACCGATAGGATCGGGTACCGCCCCTGGGGCGGTACGCTTCCTACGAAATGGTACTTTAGTAAAAGATCTGGGAATCGCACTAAAGACTAAAGACCCTCCTTATATCATGATGTACCCTCTTTTAGCATAACGTACCGTATTATATCATAAAGTACAATATTATACCACAAAATACCATCTTACACCATCAAATAAAATTCCTCGCACGTGCATGCGCGAAAGACGTCATTACTCTATAGAGTAATGACCTCTGGGGAGGCCGTGGGCGGATCCGCCGCGGGGCCCTCCCGGGCGGGCGCCTCCCGGACCGCGGGCGCCTCCTGCGTGGCAGGCGCCTCCTGCGGGGCGGGCGCCTCCTGCGGGGCGGGCGCCTCCTGCGGGGCGGGCGCCTCCTGCGGGGCGGGCGCCTCCTGGCGGCTGGGGGCCTCCTGGGGGCCCGGCGCCTCCTGCGGGGCGGGCGCCTCCTCCCTCTCCTCCTCCTCCTCCTCCTCCTCCTCCTCCTCCTCCTCCTCCTCCTCCTCCTCCTCCTCCTCCTCCTCCTCCTCAATCTCCTCCTCCTCCTCCTCCCCCTCCCCTCCCCCTCCCCCTCCCCCCTCCTCCTCCTCCTCCTCCTCCTCCTCCTCCTCCTCCTCCTCCTCCCTCCTCCTCTCTCCTTCCTGCTTCTCCTCCTGCTTCTCCTCCTTCTCCCTCCTGCTTCTCCTCCTCTCCTGCTTCTCCTCCTGCTTCTCCTCCTGCTTCTCCTCCTCCTCCTGCTTCTCCTCCTGCTTCTCCTCCTTCTCCCCTCTCCTGCTCCTCCTGCTTCTCCTCCGCCTGCTCCTCCTCCTCCTCCTCCCTCCTCCTCCTCCTCCTCCTCCTCCTCCTCCTCCGCCTCCTTCTCCTCCGCTCCGCCTCCTCCTCCTCCTCCTCCTCCTCCTCCTTCCTCCGCCTCCTCCTCCGCCTCCTCCTCCTTCTCCTCCTCCTTCTCCTCCTCCTCCTCCGCCTCCTCCTCCTCCTCCTCCTCCTTCTCCTCCTCCTCCTCCTCCTCCTCCTCCGCGTCCTCCGCCTCCTGGGGGCCGAGCGCCTTCTGCGTGGCGGGCGCCTCCTGGGGGGCGGGCGCCTCCGGGGCGGCGGGCGCCGCCGCAGCGAGGGCCGCTGCGCGAGTGCTGGCGGCGGGGCCCGCGGCGGGGGCGGAGTCGGCCGTCACCTTTTTCGCGGCGGGCCCCCAGGGGGGGAGTGAGAAGGAGCGGGCCTGCTCTGAAGGCACGGAAGGCCGCCGGCCTTCCGAGCAAGTTTGCCTCTGGAAGCGGAGAACTTCTCCGAGGGCCGGAGGGCTTCTGAGAGGCCCCGCCGCCTTCTGAGGAGGCCTCCTCCTTCGCGCTTCCCCCCCTCGCTCGCCAACCCGAACCTTCTGCTGGTTCAGCTCCCTCGTCTTCGCCTGCCACTGCTTCTCGAGCTTACCGACGATCTCGTGCATCTCGTCACCGCCCGCCTTCATGACGACCCTCCAGCGCCCGTGGGGTCCGCCGTCGGCCTCGTGGAGCACGAGCTTGGCCATGACGGTGCCCACCAGTCGGGCCTCTCCGGAGGCGACCCAGCTGATCGCGGCAAGCCACCTCTCCAAGGAGGAGGATGGGGGAGGAGGAGGAGGAGGAGGAGGAGGAGGAGGAGGAGGAGGAGGAGGAGGAGGAGGAGGAGGAGGAGGAGAGGGAGGAGGAGGAGGAGGAGGAGGAGGAGGAGGAGGAGGAGGAGGGAGGAGGAGGAGGAGGAGGAGGAGGGGGGAGGGGGGAAGAGGAGGAGCAGCAGCAGCAGGAGGAGGCCACCTCTCCTCCCCTCGGGGCATGCACCCGTACTCCTGCATGTACGCCATGAAGTAGTTCGCCTGCTCGACGTCCTCGCGCAGCCTCTCGAAGCGGTCTATGAGCCCCCGCAGCGAGTCCTTGACCTCCTCGTTGCCGCACATCGTGACGCTGCACTCGATCCGCTCCAGGGTGGCCGTCAGGTCGCGCTGCTCTCTCTCCAGGGGGCCCAGGTCGTCTGCCTCCTCTGGGCGCCCACGCACATGCACCCTCGCCCCTCCCCTCGTACAGCCAACCCGTATCATGAGGATGCGCGGTAAGGACGCAAGGGCCTTGGAGGCCCATGTCCACGTCATTCGATCGAGGTTGGCCAGCGAAGGTCGCGAAGGATGGGCCGAGGGGGCAAGGATGCGAGGGTACACGTCGTTCATTTCTAATCGTGCTCGCTTCTGATTCTGCTCGTTTCTAAGCGTTCCTGGCCCCCCAGTGGCCAGGAAGAGGCCCAGGATGGAAGAGCCAGAAACGAAAGGATCCTGGCCCCCCAACAAGAATCAAGGACCTCTCGAAGCAACAGACGTGCACCACAGTGTGCACCCCCTGGGCTGGCTGCCCGTCCCGACTGCGCGGGCCGACTGCAGCCTTCCCCCGAGGCCGCCGGGGAGCGGGGTGCGACAGGGGGGAGCGGCCAAGAGGCGGGGGGGTCCACGAGGGGGGGGGGGTGCAGATCATGACCGGCGGCACGTGCGCGGCCCAGCGGGGGGGGGGGGCCAGGGACGCAAGGAAACGAGAAGAGGCGCCGTGAAACCTGGGGAGAGATCAGGCCCCCCGCCACGATATCCATCCCCCCCCCCTAGTCACCACCCCCCCAGAGATCCGACGTCGTGATTTTTTCAATACGGGGCCCCCGGAGGTCTCGACCCGTTCCCCGGGACCGGTTTTTCATCCTGAGTCGTTTTTTGACGGTCCCGGGGCCCGGCGAGGGCCCCTTGAGGCCGAAAATTGTGAAAAACCTCCGTCTTGATTTTTGTCAATGCGTTGGATCTCTGGGCCCCTCTTTGCCGCCCCCGAGACAGGGGGCGGGGGGGAGCGCCCCCAGAGGCCGGGGAGGCCGCCCCCCTCCTCCTCCTCCCCCTCCTCCGGGTGCGCAGCCAGGGCGCCCCCCCCCTGCCGCGGGCCGGGGCGCCTCGAGGAGGAGGAGGAGGAGGAGGAGGAGGAGGAGGAGGAGGAGGAGGAGGAGGAGGAGGAGAGGAGGAGGAGGAGGAGGGAGGAGGAGGAGGAGGAGGAGGAGGAGGAGGAGGAGGAGGGCGGGCGCCTGCTCTCGCGGGGAGGGGCCCAGCGGCTCTCGGGGGGTCGTGCTCTCTCGGCACGGCGGGGGCCCACGGAGCTCTCGGCCCCGCCCCCCCCCCCGGGGCTGCTGCTGCGTCGCGGGGGCGCTCCCTGCTGGCGCCAGGCCCCACAACGGCGGCCACTCTTTCAGGGGGGGGGGCAGGGGGAGGGGAGGGGAGGGGAGGGGAGGGGAGCGGGAAGGGAAGGGAAGGGAGGGCAAAAACTCGCGGTGCCTGGAGGTGTGGGGACCGATCGGGGGTTGCGGGGGAGGGTCGGACCAGTGGTCGCATCGAGGGTCTCGATGCCGTGGTCGCTATTGCCGCCATCGTTGCCGTCGAAGCCGCCGCCGCCGCCGCCGCCCTTGACTCCTCCTCCTCGGCGACGTCGTTGAAGAAGACAGTCGTCCTGCGCGGAGAGACCTGCGCCGCCAAGGACTCCGTGGACACCTCTCGCTCCACGGATGGCGCATCCGAGTCCTTCCGCAAGGGTGGAGGAGAGAGGGCGGGGCGGGAGGGATGGCGACGGGGAAGGTTTTGCGGGTATGCTCGGCGGGTCTGGCCAGGCTTTGTGCCGGGTCCTTTCCTTCTCCCCCGTCGTCCTCCTGCATATCCTGCTCCTGCTCCTGCTCCTCTCCATGCTCCCTGGAGGGAGCACGCTCCTATGTCAGACGCGCCTCAGTGCGTGCAGCGTCCAGTGTATAGCGGAGAAGGAGTAGGGGGAATATTAGATGCTCATTCTGGGGATTTGATGCTCATTCGGGGGGACATTCCTGGAGCCACTCGCTCCACTCGCACGTCGAAACTATGTCGAACGTCCGTCGACTTGAGTCGAACTTGAGTCGAGCCTGAGTCGAACCTGAATCGAACCTGAGTCGAACTTGAATCGAACTGGAGTCGAACTAGAGCCAAACAAATCCGTTCGTTGTGCTCCAGGGAGGTCTCCGAAACGAACATGCAAGAGGTGACTTTCAGAATACGCGCGCGCGTGCATGCATGGCATTTGCTCTTGGCTGCTCTACCTGTGTGCCCTGCCGGGGCGAGGAGAAGGTTGCAAGAGTGATCGTCCGTAGTGCATTGTTGCGCGTCGGATGCTAAGCACACCCCTGGGCCCGCGTCTTGCTCGCCCTTGCCCCAGAAGGAGGAGGAGGAGGAGAAGGAGGAGGAAGATGGAAAAGGGCACGAAAGATTCGTCCTCTTTCAGTCTCTCGCCTTCCTCCTCCCGCCTGGCCGTCATCCTCCTTCTCACCACTGTCCGCTTCCCCCTTCGCATCAGCTTCCCATCAGCCCTCCTCCTATCTTCCTCCCGTCGCCCTTGCCCTGCCTCCCCGCGTGTCCGTCTGGCCTGCTCCCAGACTCTGCCGCCGTTGCCCGAGGCCGAGAAGAGGGCAACGAAAAGACTGACTACCTCCCAAACCACCCCAACCCAACCCGAAGACCCGAATTTCGGGTTGGGGGGGGTACGGGCTTCATGTGTGTTTTCTCGACGTTCCCCGACCCCCCCCCAACTGGAAATGGAGGGCAAATTCTGGCCTTCGGGTTGGGTTGGGGTGGTTTGGTGGGTGGTGAAAGACAGAGGAAGCAGGCCGGCATATACGGGGCATCCTTCGCCCACCCCGCCGACCCCGGCACGTCGCGGGAGCGCTGCGCCCAACGCTCCCCGAAGCCCAGAGCGTCGCTGGAGTGTTGCGCCCGGCGTCTTCCGGAGTCGGGGGGGGGGAGGACAACTGGGCATTTTCTTAGGGTGGAGGGCTCAGGGTGAAATCCAAACGGGCTTTTTTGCAGCTCGAGAAGCAATCCGCCTCGTGATTCACCTCTTGCAGATTCCAGCTTCGAGAATCAATCGAAACGGCATTTCAGATTTCACCCCATGCCCTCCACCCGAAGAAAATGCTCGAGGCAAGGGGAGGCAGGCTGGCACGTTGTGCGGGGCGCCAGCGCTCACACCCCGTGGGCGCCGGGCACGTCGCCGGAGCGTTGGCGCGCCCGGGTCCGGAAGGTGGTCGCGCGGCCGCTGCCGTGCGCGCTGCAGGAGAGGTGGTGCGGGGGGCCACGCTGGGAGCAGCGGGCGTGCCACACGCAGCCGGGCACCTGTGAGAGTGGCCCACTGGGGGGGGGGGGGCAATGGACCCCCGCAGTAGGTCGGGCACGTCCCCCCACAGGCGGATTCTGGAAGAAGAGTGAAACATAGCCAAAACATATTCAAAGATGGAAACAAGTAGTCGAAGCATCGTTCTCAGACTATTTGTTTGAGTATTTATGGATGTTCCTCCTGTAGGAGGTACATGCCAGACTTCACCCTTGCAGTAAGCAGCGGAGCTCACCAAAGCACGGCCCCAGCACGAAATATGCCAACCACAGCCTGCTAGGGGACCTGCTTTGCCCGTTTGACGCTGCATTGGACCCTCCAGGATTCGATGCGGCCGATGTGGAATCAGGCGGTGAAGCCCAACGAAGAACCGCCTCGACCATTCGGGGAGACGTAAGACTTGGGTACGGGGGACTCGGGTTGGCCTGACGGGGCCATCATGAAAATGACGAGACCCAATCTGAAATTTGACGCGAGCTCACCCTGCAAGCATCCCACGAAAACCGGACCATCAAATCCAGGACGCGCTCGTCAAAAAACATGAGCAAACCCGAGTTCCAGCTTACTCGAGTCTTACGTTTCCCCGAACCATGAATGTCTGTCGCCACCAGCAGGTCGACGGCACCACTGCCCTCTCGGAATTTCCGTCGAACCAGGGCCCGCCGCGCCGGGCAACGCGAGGGCGGAGCTCTCGCGCCAGAGATGCCAGGTGCAAGGCTGCACTGTTAGACGAGCGCTTTCCACTACTCGCAATGTAAATACTCGCAAATGGCCTGGATTCGCCGTGGGGGATCTACGACAAAAATACATCAAAGCAGACACGTTTGCGAGTAGGCACTTTGTGAGTAGTGGAGCGCGTTCAGCGAACTGTGGAGACCAAGGCCCCGTAGTAGGCCGGGTTGATGCAGAGCGCGCTGTTGATTCAGCCGACCACTTTTGAGCTGTCGCCCCACGAACCCACCAGCATGCACCAACCCATGGCTGCTTCCACACGACGGGGATATCGACGCATCTGCGGTTTCGCTTCTCCGCGGCAGCCTGGATGTCTCTTGAGAGTGCTTCTTCCCTTCCCTCCCGAGGAAGTTTCCATCGAGGGTTCACGTTAGCTGGACGCTATAGACGAAGTCATCCGCCCCCATGCCCCAGTCTGCAGCTTGGTAGAAGCAACCTTGCGCAAGCAAGTCCACTATTGTAGGACCAGGGGGCATTCCCATTTGGCACTGCGTTTGCACCCCTTTCGGTGGCTCCATTTCCGTAGCGCGCCATCGTCGTCGAAACACTTGCCAGAGCTTCCCAACGCCATGTTGACGCCCGATGAGACTTGCAGGGCACCCTTCGCGTGAGAGCTGACGACTAACTGCGTTGACCCAGCGAGCCTAGGACTGGACGGGACAGCTCGGACTCCGGCCGGGTCGAGCGGACGGCTGGGTCAGGGGTAGGGTCGTAGGACGGGTAGCAAGGCGATGAATATGAGTGAGGATCAGCTCCACCACGCTCATGCAACTGGCCTGTCTGTAGATCTGTCGCGCCGATCGGGTCGCACGACGCACGTTGTCAACTCGCTCATCACAGGGCCGTCGGTGACGACGACCGGTGCGACGCAACAGACCAACCTCGAGCTGTCAAAACCGCTAAAATCCGATTTAGATACGAAACACCCGTCACCGCTTGTCGCTGAATCGACGGACACGCTCGTGACGGGGTAGTTCATTACAACATATGATAATCACGCTCCTGCTGCTGTCCGTATTCCATGTACCCATGCATGTTGCACTCCTCGCGTTCGGTCTGACAGAGGGTCAGAGCTGAGGCCGATTCGACCCGCCAAACCATTACAGCTATGCTTGTGTTTCAGCATGGACGTTTGTCGTCGACGTTGCAAAGTGCGCTGCGATGTCGGAACGCGTTGCATATCTCGCGCGAACGACTGAAAATGATCACTCTCGCCGCAGCGCCACGCATACTGACCGTTTACAAACCCTTCGCGAGAAACGAACGCACGCACGACAGCGTCAACACAAGACATCGCCGTGCATGCGCCGACCCAGCGGGCCGGCGGCGTGCTCAGATCCCCGGCAACCCTGAAAGGTCTTCAGAACCCCCCTTCAACAGGGGGTAAGCAATTTTTCCGGGGGGGGGCAAACCAATTGTGTTTTTTCGCGGCCCCCGCCGCGCAACAACGCCGACACGCTTCGTGGCCCCATAGGGAGCCCCACCGAAGATCCCAGTGCTACTGTCCGCATGCGTCCCGCACACCCAGTACAGCGCTTCGTGGCCCCATAGGGAGCCCCACGGAAGATCCCAGTGCTACCGTCCGCATGCGTCCCGCACACGCAGTACAGCGTTTCGTGGCCCCATAGGGATCCCCGCCGAAGGTCCCAATGCTACCGTCCGCATGCGTCCCGTACACCCAGTACAACGTTTCGTGGCCCCATAGGGAGCTCCACCGAAGCCCCCAGTGGGACCGCCCGCATGCGTCCCGAAAACCCAATTTGCATTTTCACCCACCGAGTACAGCGCTTCGTGGCCCCATAGGGAGCCCTACCGAAGGCCCCAGTGCCACCGTCCGCATGCGTCCCGAAAACCAAATTCTGCATTTTCACCCACCCAATAGAGCGCTTCGTGGCCCCATAGGGAGCTCCACCGAAGCCACCAATGGGACCACCCGCATGCGTCCCACGCACACAATTTGGCATTTTCACCCACCCAGTACAGCGCTTCGTGGCCCCATAGGGAGCTCCACCGAAGCCCCCAGTGGGACCGCCCGCATGCGTCCCGGAAACCCACTTTGCCATTTTCGCCCACCCAGTACAGCGTTTCGTGGCCCCATAGGGAGCTCCACCGAAACCCCCAGTGGGACCGCCCGCATGCGTCCCGGAAACCCACTTTTGCATTTTCACGCACCCAGTACAGCGCTTCGTGGCCCCACACGGAGCTCCACCGAAGCCCCCAGTGGGACCGCCCGCATGCGTCCCGGAAACCCACTTTGGCATTTTCACCCACCCGGTACAGCGCTTCGTGGCCCCATAGGGAGCTGCAGCTTCACCGAAGCCCCCAGTGGGACTGTCCGCATGCGCCCCACACACCGAATTTGGCATTTTCACCCATCGAGTACAGCGTTTCGCGGCCCCACAGGGAGCTCCACCGACGGCTCCAGTGCTACCGCCCGCATGCGTTCCCCCCCACCCAGTGCAGCGCTTCCTGGCCACACAGGGAGCTTCACCGAATAAGATATTCACAAATGCGGTACCCACAACTGCATATGGTTGGGTCCTTCGCCAAGATAATTACGTCTCCGATCGCTCTTCGGAGCCTTGGTGGTCAGAGCTTTCAATGGCACCGTTCGCTCTTGGGAGCCTTGGTGTTAGCTTCATGGGGCCCACTTGGAGCTCTCTCGGGAGCCTCTAAGGGCCTGCTTGGGCCGTCTTGGGGCCCTCTGGGGCCGTCTGGGGGCCCTCTTGGGGCGTCTTGGGGCCCTCTTGGGCCGTCATTGCAATATTGGAGGCCTTCTGGTCGAAAAGGCGAGAATCCAAAGAACCTGCAGAAACCCAAAGAAAATCAGGACTTTCGGCCTCCTCAGGCCCTCTCGGGGGTCCTCTTCTGACGCTCGTGGGCAGTCGTTGGAGCCTCTTGGGCCGTCTTGGAGGGTTTGAGTCGGCTTGGGGCCCTCTTCGGTCCTCTTCAGGGCCTTCTATGCCACTCTTGGGTCTGTGGCCGTCCTGGGGGCCTCTGGGGCCGTCTGGGGGCCCTCGTGGCCCTCGGAGCCGTGTTAGACCGATCTGAGCCCGAAACGGCGACCACCCAGAAAACAATGGAAATCCTACGGAACATCAATGTATTTTGCCTCTGCGGGCCGTCTGAGGGGTCCTCTGGGGAGGCTCGTGAGCCTTCTCGGGAGCCTCTTGGGCCATGTTTGGGAGCTTGGGCCATCTTCGGGCCATCTCGGGGCCCTCTTTGGCCATCGTGCCGGCCTTCCATGGCCCTCTGGGCGCTCTCTTGCGAGCATCTGGGGACCCTCTGGCTTGTGCACCCCACGCCCCCCCCCCCCCTCTGGACCCCTCCCTGGAGGGCTTCGCCCCAACTCAACGTCATCACTCGTAGTTACCTCGCCTTTTCCATCATTTCGAGTGAAGATGATGAGGTCAAGGTGAAATGGAGGATGCTGAGAAACACGCGTAAAGGCGTGCCAAGAGAGCGGCCTCGCGCATTCCACCGGCCGATGTTGGGAATTCTTCTGGGGAAGCGTCAGCAAGCGAAACGTGCTCGCAGCGCTAGGCCCGCGGGCGTGACAGCTCCTGGGTGGGACACGTGAAAACACGAGTGAGATGCGCCCTCAGGGCTGCGAAAGCCTCGTCTCGGCGCATCCCTCACGCATTTCCTGCCTGGCACATTGTTCTGGGACGCCTGAAAATACTAGTGAGCAGCGCCTTCATGGCTACGACACTGCCACTGTGGGCACATCCCTCACGCATGTCCTGCTCCACACTCTGCAGGGACACGTGAAAATACGAGCGGTCTGCACTCCGAGGGCCACAAAGGGCTCAGTCTGGCGCACCCCTCACGCCCTCAGCTGGCCCTTTAGACGGCTCAGGGGAGCTCAAATTCGGGGCACCCCTCACGCACTTCGTCCCACATGGACACCCCAAAAGGCCGTCTGCCCCCCCACGGGACGCCAACGTGGCCCCAAGAGACATTGCAACGATTGGTACCGACCCTCGTCGAGGCAATATCCCTAACACGCACTGATTGCAAAATCTGCGTGCAAGCTTCCCCCTGGGGGCCCGCCGTGACTCCAGCTCTGCGGGCTCAACAAGATGCACGAGCCCACGCTAGGCACACGGGGCCCCCCACACAATGTCATGGGGCACGCCACTGGCTTGATGGGCCGCAACCGCCCATTTTCAAGCCTCTTCAGCTCCCCGTCATCGCCAAAACGGAGTGCACATCAGAAAACGTGACCGGAGTATGTTATTTTGGATGCCGGGGGCGCACCTCAGAACCTCAGAACGCTTCCATCGACCTGAACATTTCCAGGTCGGACCTGGAGATCATCTGCCAGCGCGCTTCCTTCCTTGTTTTTCACAGGGTAAGCCCATGTAGGTCGACCTGAAGAAATTGCTCTCATCGGACACCGCCGCCAGGCTCTGCTAGTCCAGAGCAAGCTCCACGTCGCCACCACGAAGGTGATAGAGCCGAATTCGCGAAAACTGTCGTAGACGCGATGCGTTTATCCTGAAAGCTGCGCTCCCGCTTGGGCTCGGCGGAAGCTTCCTGCCTGCCCAATCGTTGGAAGCAGGGACGCGCCCAAGAGAGCAGAAAGGATCGCTCTCGCTCGCCTCGGAGCCGCACAGATTTGTTCCTGATAGTGGAGCTCCAAGTCAGTATCTGCGAAAGCTTTCTGTTCGCCAACTCGTTGGAAGCGGGGCCGCGCCTTAGAAAGCGAAATGTCACCCTCGCCCAAGCAACGCGAAATTGTTTCCTGAAGATCCCGCTCAGACGCGGTACATCTCTCGCCTGCAGATCCCATTTGGAGTTGGGCCGTGCGTGAGGGAACTGAATACTGTTCTGCCCCAAATGCGGAACAACAGTTTTCTTGACAATGCGTCCCCGCGTGCACGCGGGGCGAGATCTGTCACTCATTCCGTCGGGACGCGCGCGAAGGAACGCAACCATGCTTCGGCTTCAGCAGCGCGAAGGCTTCTCTGGAAGGCTGCGCTCCCGGCTTGGGCCTCGGATCGGCGCACCTCCCCCCGCCAACTCCTCGGAAGGCGGGGGCCGCGCGCGCGAGCACGGCATGCAGTGCTCGCCCCAGGGCCGCGCAGAGTGTGCCCCAGGACCCCCCTCCCTGGCGCGCGGAGCGCGCCAGGGGCGGCGCCGGAGGCGCCGCCGGGGGGCCCCAGCGCCGATCCGAGAAATCCGCGCGGACCTCCGAGTTTTCATGTTTATGCCACTGTTTGTTCCCCTGGCAATGCATCGTGAATCCCTCATTGCGTCGAGGCGCAAGAATGTCTCTGGGACGTTTGCGAGCAGGCGCCTCTGCGAGCGCTCGGCGACGACCGCCGCGACGACGACGACCGCCGCGACGACGACGACGACGACCGCCGCGACGACGACGACGACGGCGACGACGACGACGACGACGCGCTCGGTGCATCGGCGACGACCGCCGCGACGGCGACGACGGGGCGCGCCGCTCCGGGAGCGCGGCCGGCGGCTTGCTGGGGCTGGCCGCCAGGGCCTGCGCGTGCGCGGCCTTCATTTCCTCGATCTGCTGCCTCGGCTGGCGGATCCGCCCTCCTCCTTCCAGTCCCTCCGCCTCCTCCTCCTCCTCCTCCTCCTCCTCCTCCTCGTCGTCCTCCTCCTCCTCCTCCTCCTCCTCCTCCCCCTCCCTCTCTCCCTCCTCCTCCTTCCATTCCCCTCCTCCTTCTCCTCCTCCTCCTTCTCCTCCTCGTCCTCCTCCTCCTCCTCCTCCTCCTCCTCCTCTTCCTCCTCCTCTCCTCCTCCTCCTCCTCCTCGTCCTCCTCCTCCTCCTCCTCCTCCTCCTCCTCCTCCTCCTCCTCCTCCTCCTCCTCCTCCTCCTCCTCCTCCTCCTCCTCCTCCTCCCCCTCCTCCTCCTCCTCCTCCCCCTCTTCCTCCTCATTGGCCCGATATCTGCCGACCCCCGCTTGCTGGGGGTGCAAGGGCGTGTGAGATCTCTCTTTCCCTTTCCCCTGGGGTGCAAAATCTCTCTCTCTTTTCCCTTCCCCTGGGGTGCAAAATCCTGTCAGGGGGGGGGGCCCTGGGGGGGGATACGAGCTCCCCGGCGCAGCCTCCGAGCCTCTGCTCTGGAGCCTCCAAATCGACACTCTGTGGCCTGCAAGATACCCGGATATCCCAGGGTAACCTCGCGCCGGCGGTCCAAGATGGCTTCAAGACGGCATTCGAAGCCCCCGAGACGGCCCAATGGTGCTCCCAGAGGGCCGCCGAAGGGGCCCCAAGAGGCAAACATAATACCATTCCTGGATGGACATCGTTCATTTTCGACATGCACGCCTTTTTCGTCTTGACAGCTTCCGCTACGGCCCAAGCAGCCCCCAAGATCGTCTCAAGACGGCCCACGAGGCCCCCAAGAGGGCCTGACAGAGCCCCAAGAGGGCCCCAAGATGGCCCGAGAGGCGCCCAAGAAGGCCCCCAGACGACCCTAGAGGCCCCCAAGACGGCCCATGAGGGCCACAAGAGGGGCCCATGAGAGGCCCCAGCGGGGGAACGCGAACCTACATTCCGAGCGCCCCGCCTCAAAACGACCCCCGAGGCCGCCAGCGGGCTCCCCCAGAAGTCCCCCAGGAGGCCCTCAATGAGGCCCGAATCAAGCCCCAAGGCCCCCAGGAAGCCCCAAACGCACCCCACGACAGCCTCCAAGGGGCCCATGGGGAATCATCCCATAGACCCTTGGTCACCGCGGGCATCCAAGAGGCCCCTGACCTGCAGCCTGAGCGCGGTGTTGGAACGGGCCGAAAGCCACTCGTTTTATGCTGTTCCCATCGTACTCAAGGACCACATCCCAGAACTTATTTCGAGCACCCAGAAAAGCATCGAAACAATGTCGAACGAGTATCGCCCCCCAGGGCCCGACACGTGAACCCTCCCAGTTTCGGCACTCTCTTGGCACTCGAGGCTCTTGCTGGTGGCCAAGGCTGAAGTAAGTTGGAACATCATAACGCTAGTTTAACATTCGGAGCTCGAACCGGCGACTCCCCCCGCCGCCCCTCATCGACCACGCCCCTTCCCGTTCGACCTGGCGCAGGGGGTTGCTCTGCGCGCCCGGAGGCTGGCTGCGCGCGCCAGCGCGAGGTCGAAGCTCGCCGCCTCCCGCCGGGTCTCGCTGCCTCGGGGCTGCCGCGCCTCGCGCGCCGCCCCCGCCGAGAACTCCCGGCGTGCGGCGGGCCCCTCGAGGCAGCGGCGGGCGGGGCGCCGCAGGCGCCAGGGCTCCACCTCCCGGAGCGCCCCGAGGCCTGTCCAGGCCGCCACAGATCCACGAGCGCAGCGCTCAGGGCGGCCCTTGAGGCCTGGGGCGGCGGCGGCCGCCCGGGCGAGCCCCCTCCGAGACCGCGCCGTGCCGGAAGCCGGTCGCTTCTGGACAGGAGCCGGAACTTCGTCGGCGGGGCCTCGACGGCACGATGGCCCCCCTGGCATGCGCGGGCCAATCTGTTTGGGGGAGCTCGTTCAAGGGGCAGGTTCCAGCCTGCCACCCCTACAGAGTGCTCAGCAAGCGGAGGCAGGTAGCCCACGATCTCCCCCGAGGCAAGCCAGCTAGCGACCGCGACTGAAGTGACACCGAGCCCGCGCCATCTCACTGTCCTGCCCGCCCGCCACACTTCCCTGCCTTCCCGCTGGGCGCTCTGAGCCATCTGGCCCAAGCCGACATGGCCAGGTCGGGCCGGCGTGGTGGGCAGCGGCCCCAGCCAATGCCCAAACTCTTTCGGGCCCCAGGGCCTCCTCTAGATGTCGCAACCGCGCGACTGAGCGTGGAATCAGAACGCGCTGTGTCACTTTGTCCCCTACGGCACAGAAGATCTGGCCTCGCGCGCGTGTTCCGGCGCCCATGTGGACAGCGTGGCGCTTGGCCCCCGCTTTGAAAACCGGCGCCCATGTGGACAGCGTGGCGCTTGGCCCCCGCTTTGAAAAGACAGCGCTCCGCGCCATCCCTGCCTCTCCCTTCCGCGCGCCCCTGCTTCGGCGCCCCCCCCCGCAGGCTTCGCGGCCCCACAAGGCACCGTCCACCCAAGGCTCCAGGAGGCACCGTCCACGCGCGGGCGCCGCGGTGGCCGCGCCCGCTCCGGCGCGCCCCCCCACCCGCTTCGCGGCTCAGTCAGGAGCTCCACCGAAGGCCCCAGTCGCACCGCAGACGCGCGGGCGTCGCGCCCCCCGCACGCTTCATGGCCCGCCATGGGGAGCTCCACCGAAGGCCCCAGAAGCACCGCCCACACGTGGGCGCCGCGCCCATTTCGGCACACCTCGTACGCTTCGTGGCCCCGTAAGGAGCTCCACCGAAGGCCCCAGAGGCGCCGCCCGCGCGCGGGCGTCGCGCCAGTTTTGGTACCCCCCCCCCCCGCAAGTTTCGTGGCCCCACGGGGAGTTCCACCCAAAGCCCCAGTCGCACCGTCCACACGTGGGCGCCGCGCCCGTTTCGGCAGAACCCTCTCGCGCTTCGTGGCCCCACAGGGAGCCCCACCGACGGCCCAGATGCGAGCGCCATGCCCGTTTCGGTAAGTACACCACTAGCACGTTTCGTGACCCCACAGGGAGCTCCGCCTAGAGCCCCCAAAGGCGCTGTCCGCATGTGGGCGACACGCCCGTCTGGGCACGCCGCTCACGCGCCTTTTGTGCCACGCAGGAGCTCCACCGAAGGCCCCAAGAGGGGCCGCCCACACGTGGGCGCCACGCCCGTCACTGCACACTCCTCACACATGTCGTAGCCCCATCGGGAGCCCACCTGCTCCTCCTCCTCCTCCTCCCTCCCTCCCTCCCTCCCTCCCTCCCTCCCCTCCCCTCCCCTCCCCTCCCCTCCCTCCCCTCCCCTCCCCCCTCCCCTCCCCTCCCCTCCCCTCCCCTCCCCTCCCCTCCCCTCCCCGCCCCTCCCTCCCCTCCCCCTCCTCCTCCTCCTCCTCCTCCTCCTCCTCCTCGTGCCGGCCTCCGCACCTTGCAAGGTGCTGCAGGGCTTATTCGGGGTCGAGCGTGCGCGGCGCCACGGCGCGAGCCCAGCCCTCTGCACATTCCCCCTACGCGGTGCTCAGGCCTGCGGTACTCACGACGGCATCTGGCTGGCTCCTCCTCCTCCTCCTCCTCCTCCTCCTCCTCCCCTCCTCCTCCTCCTCCTCCACCTCCCCCCTCCTCCTCCTCCACCTCCGCCCCCTCCCCCCTCCCTCCTCCTCCTCCTCCTCCCCTCCTCCTCCTCCTCCTCTCTCCTGCTCCTGCTCTCCTCCTGCTCCTACTCCTCCTCCTGCTCCTCCTTCTTTTTCCTCCTCCTCCTCCTCCTCCTCCTCCTCCTCCTCCTCCTCCCCCTCCTCGTCGTCCTCCTCTTCCTCCTCCTCCTCCTCCTCCTCCTCCTCCTCCTCCTCCTCCTCCTCCTCCTCCTCCTCGTCCCCCTCCTCGTCGTCGTCGTCGTCCTCCTCCTCCTCCATCTGGTTGGGTCCTTCGCCAGGTCGATGTGCCCCTGCGGGATGCACGTCGCAGCTCGCTCGCCCCACCTCGCGCAGTGGGCAAGACGGACATGCGACCTGCCAGCCTGCGCGACCGCGCCCCTCTTGCAATACCATGACTGGGCGGCCCAGCTGGCCTGGCGAACTGAAAGAGACGACAGCCCCTCGTCCTGATTTGCTGGACTTGCTGGGCGCTGGGACTGACTTGCTGGACTTGCTGGACTTGCTCGTCCTGACTTGCTGGACTTGCTGGACCAGCGCACGGACCTGCTGGACGCTGGCCCCTCTGCTGCCGCCGCGGCTGCGGGCTCGTCTGCAGCTCTTGCCGGCCGTGGAGCCGCTGCGCCTCCTCGGCAATTTGCTCCCCCGCTGGCGCAAGCGCTCGCGGCGCTGGCAACGCCAAGAACTGCCACCGGGTACGTCTGCCCCGGGCTTCGTCTTGAAACGATCGACCATGGTCTGGCGCCCCTCCAGAGCAAGTGCAAGGCTGGCGGCCGCGGGGCCTACTGCCGCGACGATGGCAGCGAGAATCTGACGAGCGGCCTGGGTCTTGAACCCAGCCCATGTTTCGCGACCCTCCTCGCCAATCGCATCGCGTTCAACATCCTTTTCCGCGCTATGCTCAAAATGAATGACATCCACGCCAGCGTCGCTCACCAGCAGTTTCGCCGATTCGATGGCCGATCCCTCTCTTGCTACTGCTGCTGGATCGGGCTGAACTGCGCTGCCCATAGCTGTGGTCGAACGGCTCCGAAACCCTCCAGACTTCGCGACGGCAAGGCTGCTTGCCACCTGCTCTGACAAAAGCCCCCGCTTCTTCCAACCACTCGCGAGCGTCCGACAAGCTCCTGGAGGCCATGACCACAGCCCGCCGTGCCCGTCGGCGTGCACTGCCAGTCTCGTGGGCCCCCCACTATTGATTCCGAGGGTTTCTTTTCGGACGTGGCCGACTGAGCCTCGAGCTTGGTGACCAATCCGAGGCCGGCTCCCGAAACGGCGGACTGAAATATTGCCAGGCCGCTGTCGGCTGTCGGCGCACCCAGGACCGCTTGCGCTTCCCACCGCGCGCGACGCTGCCGACGCCAAGAGGTTCACTCACGTCGTGGACTGCTTTGCGCGCGATTAAGTTGGATTCTAGATACGTCATCCTTCCCCACCGTTTCCTCATCCTGATCCTACTGTTCCACCTCCTCGTCCCCCTTCATGAGGGGGCGCCTCAACTGCTGGATGATGACCTCGGGGTTCTGCACGACGGCCTCGTTCTTGACCACCTGGGTCTTCACCTTCTTCACCGACTGAGCGAATCTGAGGGTGTTCAAGGTCTCCTCGTAATTTTCTGCCGCCGGGGACACGGCTGCGATCATCACAGTTCGCGAGTTCCCCGAAAGGGAGTCGGACAGCAAGAACGTGAGCTTCGAATTCCTGAAAGGCACATGCACCTTCTGTTTACGTCTCTCTCTCTCTCTCTCTTTTTCTCTCTCCCTCCCTCTTCCTCTCTCTCTGTCTTCCTCTACGAATGTGCATATACAGTTTTTCCTCTGAGAATCGGGGTAAGATGACAAAGGAATTATGATATCATGTTCACTTTGCTCAGGGAGAGAGGGGACGGGATGAGACATTGATAAGACAAGTATCCGTTAAGCAAGACTACTCTATCAGGAATGTGAAGGGAGGAGGCCGGCTGGCCTACGACCGACGACGCACGACGGCCGAGGGCTGGCGCGCTCCTTTTCTATCCTGCAAGCCAAGGTTGGCTTGTTCGAGCATCCATACAGCTGCGGAACGCAGCTGCTAGTTCCAGCGGACAGTGCAATGCATGCAAACTAAGTTAATTTCTAATTTAATATGAGGCGGAGAGGAGCAGATTTACCCCCCCCGCGGCGGGCCGCGTAGAGCCCATCCAGCTACAGCACCCCCGGCCTGTACATTTGCACAACCACCGGAGCCAACCCGAAAAAAGCTTTTACAGCTCAACGGTGGCTGCCAGGGGGCCAAGGGCCGAAGAGGCTCGACGTTTCCCACCATCATGATAAATAAATTCTCTCCGCTGGACTGGCTTAGCCGACCAGCAGAGGTGTCCGCATCCAACACGCGTTCCGAGCGTGGATAAAATTGTCTTGCACGCGCCTGCCGCGACTGAGTCACGCGGGCGAAACTCAGTTCAGGTCCTGCCACGGGCTGGGCTCGTCCTCTTCTCTGGGCGGCGCCGGAGGCGGCGGGTTTGACGACGCCGATCCTCCCGTCTGTACCTCCACGCCACGAGGCGTGCGGGACCGCCCTCTTCCTTTTTCAGCGTCGCTCTTCGATTCTGTCCCTTTTGGCGGGAAGCGTAAGTCGTGCTCCCATGTTGATAGCACGTGCCAGTAATTCAGAGTGTGCCACTCGACGTCGGGCCGCCGCGTGATCCTGTTCCGATGGACGTAGTGCCCGGCGTGGGTTCCGTTCACGTAGCGCGGGTAGGACTTGGGCGGATCGTGCTCGTAGCTGTTGTCCGCAGCGCTGCTGGCAGCGTCCGTGGCCGCGCCGGCGGCAGCATCCATGGCCGCGCCGGCGGCAGCATCCATGGCCCCATCGCGCGCGCGTCGTGAATCCGACCGATCCCTCGCGTTGGGATGCCGAGGGTGCGTCTCCCTGGTCGTCGCGGCTGAGCCGGCGACTGAACGCGGGGATTCGGTGGCTTCTTCGGGCACCAGAGCCTCTGAGACGCCAGGTCTAAGAGGCGGAGGGCGCGATAAAGGTCTAGCCTTCGGTCCAGCCGGCGCCCGTGGCCCCGCGATCTCGGCTTCGCCGTCGTGGTCTGGATTGTTACTCCTACGATCTCTCATGAATTGTATTGAACTTCTGGCAGCTGTCGCTGCAGCGACACCATATTTTCCGCGCGCAGTACGGAAGGGTCCATAGTCTTTGTCCTGGAGTTCAGTACCAGGGTCAGGATATTTATCCTGAAGCCAAGAAATGGCTTCCTGTATAAAAGCACCGTGGCAACGGACATAATTCTGCGCTTTCCTGCCCATCTTGTGAGCCCACTTTTCTATTATGTCGTCCGTTTGAACAGCCGCGCGGATGCGGCAGTCCAAGGCATACTCGTCGGTCCGTCTTTTCGAAGCAATATTTTCCGTGCTTGCCATTTCGGGACGAATAATTCGCCCCGGGCAACCAATGAAGTAATCTTCCGATATGAAGAAGCTGATTATTTCACGAACAATTGCAAAAATCCTTACGGGCCGAAGGCCCAGTTGCATTTGTTGTACTGGTGCCAACCAATTGTCATGTACGATGGTCTGGATGATCTCCGGGATCACGTGTTCTGTCGTTCCAGTCAGGCTAACCCTGCCGGGATTAGTAGGGTTTGTGCCTGTGTGTTCAACTACGCAATGGGCGGCAATTTCCCGAACTTCTCTCCCGAACAACCTTATTTTGATCAAATGATCATCACGGTGAAAGTATACGTGTCCCTCAGAATGGTCAAGAGTGCTGTTTCCGTCAGTTATCAGCGCGGCCTTAGGCCCGCCGATTGCTGTGATATCCAGATCCATTTGTGATTGTTCGCGTGCCATCGCGGCTTCGCCGGTGGCATGTCGCAACACTGGGATAATAAGACGGTGGTCCCGACACATCCTAACCCGTCTTGAAACAGACTGAGACTGAGAACTGCGAGTCGGCCTCGCTCTAAAATTGTTTCCCCAGGCGAGCGGTAACCGCGCAGGAGGGTTGTTGTTGTCTCCGGCGTTGCTCCCGTTCTCTTCATCCAATGCGCCATACCACGGTCTACCTAAATTTACCGTGCCATCTATTGTAGCAAGCGTCGGAACAAAGACATTGGTTCTAGTCATGTTGTGGAACCATCTCTCCCAGCCAGTCCGCGGAGTGACTAAGTCATCCTCTTCGCCAGGCCAATGAAAGGCCGCCAGGGCTGGGCAGGATCTCGGGCGATCGCATTGATCAAACTTTGTTTCCCACAATTTCGGCCACCAGGTATTAATAGGCGGGGTTTGTCTGTTTACGTCTCTGGCTGAATATTCAAGCCACGATATGAACCTTCTGAGCAAACGCTTCAAATATTGAAAGAAAGGAGCATGTCGCGCCGGAGGCTGAGCCTCGGCGTTTTCTGGGACCCAAACTGGAAAGTCGCCGGGCTGGCTATTGCCAAATATCGTGCCAGCGGCCGCCATTGTAGCAAACTGTCCAGAGGCCCATCTTCGCTCCTGCTGATTGTTGTTGCTGACGTTTTTCATGACATTGGCAGAACCTCTCGCTTGCCTCTTTGCACGCGCCTTTATATATTCGTGGCGATTCCATGATAGACCCTCTTCATGATCCACCGCTGTGAAGAGGCCGTTCGCCTCTAGGGACTGAGGGGTAACTTTGCGGTTCCACGTCTGGGTCATGCAATCGTGCGTGACCCTGCATTTGTACTTGACTGGACAATTGCAGACAGGACAGATGGCAAAACCTGTCCTCACCCAGTGGTATCGGCCACACAGGAACCTCCCATCGTCATTCCAAGGGGTGGATATAATTCGATCCTGGATCTGGGTCGACAATCTTGGCCTGTGGTTCCAATCAATGATTATTCTCTCGTCTGTATGAATCCAGGCAATAATCGACTCATTGTCGATAGTGACCTCGTGTGAAGACAACTCGCGATTGAAGAGTACCGTCCAGCGCATCTGATCTGCCTGTCTCACAAGGGAGACGGCTGTGTCGATGTCAGTGAACCTCGGCACTTCCCGAGACACTAGGGCCCCATCTGGGCAAACCCGGTGCGAGAAGCGAGTGAGCACTCTGCCGGTAAAAACAAGAACGAGATCCCATAGCTCATGGTGATTGGGGAGATGTGGCCATAAGTGGTGGGTGTCATCTGCGGGCCAAGTCCCCACCGATGGCTTCTCTCCTCCCCGAGCTGGGCTATTCATGGGTACTAGACTTCTTGCAGCGAGTGGCTGTCCATATCTCCGCTGGTTTAGCCACGGAGGAATACCCGAGGGATCAGGCACTGTTGGGCTATTGTTTGCCGGAAGCCATCGCAACAATTCATAATCTGCGCCATGGCAAAGCCCTGAGTCGCTCTTCGGGAAGCGAACACTTCCACACGTAGATTCCAAAAATGTTCGCAAGTCTGCGATGTGAAGGAGAGAGCCGTGACTCCTGACTTGGCCAGGGTCATATGGGACGCACATCCTTTCAATCGAGGCAGCGAACGTTGAATGTCCCTGGCATGCCCTATAGAATATGGGTATCGGCATCTCCCTTCCGTCTTCTTCTTGCAACGAGCCCCTCTTGTGTCGCTCCCACATGGCGTAGATTTTTTGTTCCAATAATCTTGGGACTACCATTGGAAAAGACTCCCAAAACTTCGACCATCCCTTGCGGCACCGCAGCTAAGCTGTGTGCGGCCAGGGCGTACGATTGGAAAGTAATACCGTCATCTTTTAGTTTCTGCACCAGGTCTCCAGAGTAGACCCAGCCTCCCGATGATCCAGCATAGCCAGAGCAATGCCCCGCGAGGTATACAGAGCACTGGCCTATCTTCTTGGCCAGCGCGTCCGATCTGTAGCTCAGGCCACTCCAGGTGTCCGAGCTGCCTAAGGCAGCCGGGTTTTCTTCACTATCTTCTCCAACTATCAGCGGCTGCAGGCACGCATAGGCCCCAGGGGTAAACCCGTCTGGAACATCATCGGAATGAAATTCGGCTCTAATATAATCCTTTGCGTGTGCGAAAGATCCATCGTCCTGGTTGAGGCTCCCCAATACTGCAAAGATTGGGTCTTCTACGAACTCGGCCATATATCGAACCGTAATTCCTGTTCGACTGCGGATGGCTTCGACGTGCGGCGGTGCGGGGCCCGTAATGTGGGCGTCTTGGATCGTTTGCTTTAGTGGCCCGGGCGTACTCCGAAGTATCTGCTGACGTTCTTCTGTCGTCACATACAAGCGTTTTTCTTTGAATACAGCAGCGTGCCCCACTGTGACGTCTCGATCCCCGTGGGCAGGGCCCCTGTATAGTGGCCGGCTCTGACTTTTGTCAGGAGCAGGCGGGAGACTCAATCTGCGAAACAAATTCTCAGATGCTGGTCCAAATGGAAAAGTCTCGTCGCCCATAGACTATAGGAACTGGGGATCTTCTTCGTATGGGAACGTCGTACAAAAGTCCTCCGTTCCCGTGTCCGTCTCAGGGATCTCCGGATGGCCTGAGGCCTCCGGCGGCGGCTGAGCTGCGTGCTTGGGAACATGCGATGTCCCCTCATCTGATGGCACCTGTGTTGGACTCGATGGTTCTTCATGTGCCTCATGGTGCCTCTCTTGCTCCGCTCCGGTTGAACCGGGCGGAGGCATCGGGGGGTTCTCCGTCGCAGCTGAGCCGGACGGAGGGGCAGGAGGAGTAGGCACTCTGATCTTACTCGTCCCAGAGCCACCTGCCTCTGTACGTCTTGACCAC